AAATGGAGGTAAAGGATGATAATCGAGAAAGAGGATAAGATAACCAATCGATAACGATTAAAGTAAAAGAAAACGAAAGAAAACGAAAAACAACGAAACGGTTGAACCTTCCAGAAAACTTATCCGAACTACAACGGCGGGGACGAAACTACAGAACACGAGAAAGACTAAGAAATCTAATCAATGGATAGTATGAACATTTCGCTGTTCCCTAATACTACCAAAGGAAGGAAATAAATTACTGACACAGCTCTCTGTCACAAAATCAGGAGGGAAAAATTTTGAAATCAAAAGAATGCGAAGTGGAGTGTCATACATTAGCCTCACGCCTGGGAGGCAACCCGTCAGGCCTATTGAGTACGTGAAACCTGACGTACATATGAACTTCTTAAAAACCTTTTTATCACATTTAAAATAGTAATAGGGAAGTTTTAATTCAAATTTTCTTCAAAAACAATGAGAAACACAGGAAAAAATGATTCAGAAATGCTCCACACGTAAAAATGAAAAAATGCATGACACCGCTCACTGCGCTCATCACGCTAAAAATGAAAAAATGCATGACACCGCTCACTGCGCTCATCACGCTAAAAATGAAAAAAATGCATGACACCGCTCACTTCGCTGATCACGTTAGAAACGAAAAAATACAAAAAGAGATTAATTCCGAGTTTCAACCGTGATCTTCAAAAGTGCTGAGCGGCGTTATAAACTGTTCTGTCTCGAACCTCATGTTTGAATATCGTGGTTACAATCGGAATTAGAAAAATTGAGCAGAGTAGAAGAATGAGAACATCTAAGCTTACTAACAAAATAAAAGTATTAGAATTAAGCTTAATTAAACAGAAATCTAATGAAAAACAAACGAAGATTTGCAAAAAAAATCAAGAAAATAAAATTGTTTTGGTCCTGGCACGATATTTTGAAGAAAGAAGAGCTCGAAAATTCAAAAAAAATGCAAAGTTGAGTGTCATAGATTAGCCTCCCGCCTGGGAGGCGACCCGTCGGGCCTAATGAGCACGTGAAACCTGACGTACATATGAACTTCCGCGCCGTACATCGTACGTTTGTTAATTTGTGCATATATAGAATAATCGAGATTTATCCTATTAAAAACCTTCAAATCATGGCTAAAAAAGTTTTATGGAAGGTAAGAGCCGAATTTTCTTC